GCCCAAAGACCCCCGTCCTCATCCCCCATTTCCCAAACATGTCGTCCCTCACCCTCTTTCTTCACCTCCCTCCCTCAGCTCCCCTCTATCTTCCCATTTCCTACATCACAACCCACTTCTCGGTTTATTCAAGCCTGTCCTTCTATCCCTTCCTCTACCCATCGCTCCATCCACCCAATCCCTTATTCTCCGTTTCCTAATCCTGCTGAGAGAGACCCCAGACACCCAGTTTATCCATCCCTCCCTTGTCTCTACCCTCCTCCTCCTTCATCTTTTTCCACCTTGTTCGCTTTTTTCTCTTAGTCCACACAACCAGTACAAAGAAGAAAAAAAAAGAAGAAGCAGGGAAATGGAGAGGCAGAATGAGAGGAGGCCTAGGTGAAAGTGGCAATAAAATAAATGGCTTGCACCTCGTGGGGAGGGAGGAGGGGAGTGATGAGGTGGCAGGTCGGGAAGAGAGCCGATTTAGCCAGCCACCCATGAAGCTGATTAGGTAGCCCGCGATCAGGAGGAACAGCTTTGCTTGTTAAACTTTTCACCTCTGCGAGCTCTCAGCCCTCTCGGTGTAAGCACCCCTCCCTCTTTCTTCTTTATCCCTCCATTCCTCCTTCTACTACTTCCTTCCTCTGTGCGTCTGCTTTAGCAGGCTTTAAATGTGAATGCTGGCCTCAGTCCCCATAGCCGACCCAATAAAAGGGGCCGGCAGCTGCCCTGCTACACCCAGATACCCCCCACAGCTGATTTTACCCTCCTCTCTTTTTTTCCCTCTCCATCGGGAGGTCAGAGGTTGAACCTCCGGCCGTTGCCTGAAGCGAAGGCATCATGAAGATAAAATTCATACAGGGTGGATGTTAAGAGAAGGAGGGATGAATAGAACGAAGAAGAGGAACACCTGAGCTGTAGGTTCATATTTATATAAAGAAAGAGAAGTTAGCGAAAAGGAGAGTGAGGTGAGGGGGTGTGGAGTGAGGACTTCACACTTTCACAAGTCGCTGGTGTTGTTTGATGTGTGATGGGTACTGAGAGAGGAGTGCTAAGGGAGAACCTGAAGTAAAACCTCAGCTTTTCATTTTAATCCCAAATATTGTTTGCTGTTTGCAAAAAGAAATGTCAATGTCCAAGCTGTTTGATCGACATTTAAAGCAAACAAACATTTACTGAAGCCTTTTGTATTTAGATAAAGAAAAATATGATTTCATTATTGTAAAATCTGAAAAATAAACTTGTCTAAAAGAATCATAGTGCAAACTAACGTGCATAAGAACTGTAATCTAGGATTTCATATAAGACAGAATTCCAATACTGAGGTGCTAATATTGAGTGATAAAGTACATATTGTAAAGAACTATAGTGCTAAACATTTTTGGGCTGCATCAAAAAAAAGGTTGATCACCTCCACGTTGTAGTTTGGATCTGGGAACACGATCAAAAGACCTACAGTAGGCAATTAGAGGGTTAAAGTACACCTTGTTTGCATTTTCCTATTGTGTTCAAGTATTTTTAATTTTTGACCTACTATTGGAATTCACACAAGTACAAAAAAAAAAACGCTTCTTCTTTTTCTTCCATTTTTAGTATAATGCAGTCAGTTTTTACAGGAGTGGTTAACTGTTAGCCACTGACGATGAAGATGTTAAGAAATGCAGACTATATTATTCTTCTGCCTTAAAAATCTTGAAACTTGAATTGATGGACTTTTTACCCAAATATTCTTTATTGAAGAGAAAAAAAAAAAAAAAAAGTTAAAATTATCTTTGTTTGGTTTGTGTAAAATTACAATTTTCTCATCTGTTTTGACATTAATATTCAGACAGGCCTAAAAAAAATAATTAAAAAAGTTTGTGTTGAACCAGGCAAGATATTCAAACTGAAACATATAGCTGATTGTAGGAAACACACATTTTTTAAACAAATAGACAAATCACAAACAGTGATGTTTGATGTTTGTAATTTTGTAATGTTTGTACTCATCAAAGTAGATGAATCCAACCCACTCTAGATTTCAAGAAAAAGAACAGATCAGGTCAACGCCTGGAGCATTTAGCATCTAGCTTCCAAAGCGCCTGACTTCAAAATGAATAAGAGTCCAAGTTGAGGCGTTGGACGTCTTTTTGATGATCAAAATGTGCTTTTGCAAAATGTTCACAATAAAAAGGTTAAAGAAAAATGCTCAGTTTAAGAAATTTTATTCAACTAAGTCTGGCTTCTCTTAAAAAAGTATAAATATAAAGTGGGAAATTAACTATTTGTCTTTATTTAAAGCTTTTAATTAATTACCTTAGTGACTTGTTTATGTTAAGTTATTTAAATTAAAATCGGAAAACCTACATTGGGTAGATGCAAGTTTTGGAGATGGTTTAAACTCAGGTTCTCTTTGCATTATTTTATGTAACTGTAATTTTATTTAAAGGACGTGTTTAAAGATATTGTCCCTAACCTTTCCACTGTTGTTTTCTACGAGCACATGTCATAGTAGATGCTACTTTATGGTAGAGCTGTGGTGGCAGGCATTTATAAAAGTGACTGCGTTATTATATAAGGTGATGATGTGTCATATTGAACCGTAACGCTGGACAGGCTGTTGTTGCAAACAAATAAAATATTGATTTGGTTGACAACAAAAAATACATTTATGAGAAAACGGCGAGGTGATGAAGAGACGTGTACTGCATTAATGTCTCAAAGTATGGAGTGTGTATCTCTTATGTGTATTTCATCAATGGTCTCTCACAATAACTGTGATGTTTAACAGTTTGAAGGTACTGCAACACACAACAATTTGCCTTAGTTTTACAACTGATTATAAAGGTTTACCTCATTCTGTTAAGAGTTATATAATGGTAGAGATATTATTTTATCCTTTATTAGGTGCAGTTATTGTAGGGATTTGACACCGCTCAGTTACAAGTTTGTCAGGAGGGAAATTCATTAGGTTTCACCAATTAGATTATATTAAACTTAGGAAAACACAGAGTTTTTATAAATTCAGCATAAAAAAAAACACTATAGTTTCTCTCTTGTTGAGAAAAGAGAGGTCCTCTTTAATATGAAGAGTGGGGTTGCTTGTGTAAAAGCAGCTGTTCTAAGACTCAGGCTACAGCAAACAGAGCAGTCCCTCATTTTAAAGTCAGCATTTATGTCATTTATATGTCCATGTTTTTTTTTTTTTTTCTTGCCACACCTTCTGCTTTCTGGTTAGAGGTTGCTCCTGAGGTTGTTGCTCTCGGCATCACATGTAACTTGTTTACAGCCAAAAAACATTTTTTATCTTTGTGTTTTCTACAACATCCAAAAGGAATTATGGGAGATTATCAATTTAATAGATTTATCAGAAGTAAGAACTATGTTATGTTTCAGTCACCTATTAATCTGAAATAAAAAAAAACCCATCTCTTTCTTAAATGAAAAAAAAAATGCACCGAACCATGCATTTTGGAGTTTTAAAGAGAAAGGCATAAAACAAATAACAGATATTTTGTTATTTGACTGTAAACTAATCTCTGCAGACTATGGTTTAATTAAACCTCTTTAAAAGACCAATTTGTTCTAAACAGGGCAGCTTGTTTGTGTAGCACTCACATGGGTGGATATTAGTGGATCTGGCTTCCTTCTCAGCTTCTGTTGTTCTCACTCAGGCAATAACACACCCTGAAATTATAATTGAATTAAACCTAAATATTTTAGCTTCTTTTATTTTTCATTTTGCTGAACAATAGGTTTACTGCAGCTTTCAAAAAAAGCAGTCAAGTTAGCATAAAAAGAAAGCTAAAGGCCTTTCCTTGGGGCATTCACTCTACAATGTTGAAGAAATATTCTTTACAACTCAAGAAATCATCAGTAAATGCTATTATGGTGATAGTATTTTCATAATTCGAATTATTGAACTATACAAACATTTCTGTGGGCTGATTTTACTGAGTAATAAGGGAATAATTCAGGATACTTGAGGTTAAGTTCTCTTCAGAGGTAGATACAGTTCGTACCTTACTTGCAGTAGATAATATTATGTTCTTATTAATAAGCATGAATCTAGATTAGCTTGGAGGCTAAAGCTACCAGCTAAAGCAAGATGTGCCAAAACCAAAATGTAGCTCTGCTGTTTTTAAACAGTCTGATATAAAATTGTCCTCATGCATATTCACAAAGGAATAAGCAGAGTTGAAATTAATTAAATAAATGTAAATTAATAAGAAAATTTAACAAAACAAAATAAAAATCTACTTCTAATTCATACAACTTTAATGAAAACATTCATGTAAAAAAAAAGCCTAAACAAATAAATCTAGGAAACATTATTATAAATATTTTTAACGGTAAACAAAATTTGTTATAAAAGTGAACCTTTGCTTTACATTAAATACAAGATAAGGATAAAATTAATATAACTGGTGTGGCTCCCAGGAACGTTGGTTGGGGTGTTTTACTAGATACATTAAGCTGTTTCTAAAGAGTAAAAATTTTGGATTGATTTAAATTCTGTTCACATATCAGTGAAATAGACTTGCATTGATAAAGAATGTGATTAGAATAATATAAAAACTGTTTCAAGCGATAAAAAAGCTTATCAACTCAATCTCTCCCATCCTGTACTAAATAAATCCAATGAAGATTGAACTTGGGATGGGGCATATTTAGCCTTTTTAGGAGAATACTTATTTTATAAAACAAGTTTGTGTAAAGGAGAAAAAAAAAATACAGATAACTCTGGTCTCCATTTAGATTTGATCTAAAAAATACCCAGTTTAACAACTTTTTAATTTTAGACATAAAACCCCAGATTTAAAATGTAAAAAAAGTTATTTCCTCCTAACCTGAATTATGAACTAATGCTACCAGCATAAGTAACATTAAAACTAAATCAATCTTATTTTTAGCTCCAACCTTTACGATTGTCAAAAAATGAGCTTTAATTAAATGTTTTGTTGTTTGCTCATCCCCTACATGTACACTGTCGTATTAATATTTCTGCTGTGTGCCTTATCTTTTTTTATCCTTTCCAGATGCTGAGTGAAGGAAAACAAGCATACGATGAGAACATCCACTATCCTCTCCTCGTCACCCTGACCAAAGGACCTCAACCTGTCAATCAAGCTCACTAAAATAAAATTAGCTTTTTGTTCTACATAATAATCCATTTTTAACATTTATTTAATATTGTCCAGTATTATTTAACATTTTAAACAGCTCCTTCCAGTTCAGAAGGCAGTAACTCAGTTACTCAGCTTGGTAACCAGTTACTAGTTAAAAAAAAAAAGATTAATTGACATTACAAGGCTCTATAAATTCCATTTATTCATTTTAAATTCTTTCAGTGTAGTTAGTTTGGCTCTTCATCAGTTCCCCCTTTTACTAAATTAAATGACAGTTTTCTACATGTCAAGTATTCTTTTATATTTTTCCCCTGTTGGAACCAGTCACTGTAACCTACGCCGCTCACTGTGTTCATGGGCTCTGCCTGGACTCTCCATCCGTCGCAGTGTGCAACAATTTACGGCTTCCTTAATTTCCACCTTTAATTTCTCTTAAAACATCTCATTCATCCCAGTCAGGGGTCAGTACAAAGAACTTCATTTGTGCATTTCTTACAGCAGTGCAGGGCATTAACACATTAAGGCACACTTGGATGAAAAGAACATTTGTTGCTGGCAGAGATGAAGATTTCATTACTTTCTATTTTTTTTTTTTTTTTTACAGCAATTAACACAACTAATCCCCAGTATACACACATTAAATCCACATCGGTATTGCATTATAATTAACTTTATACAGTATAACTCGTCTAGTGTTATGATCAAAGAACAGCCTGGTTTAAATTGTTCAACTGTCATCGGTAAATTTCCTCTTTAATTACAGTTTCAGGTGATAAATTTAAGTCTTCTAAACTGATTTGAGGATCTTGACAACTGAGTTATTGTGTCAAAAACCATTATTTTGGAGGGGAACGTGCCTAGGAAATACACATTATGCTCTTACATTTCTGTTGTACTTGCATTTATTGACCCAATACTGTGGAATAGAAGATGATGTATTTTTGTGTATCAACTAAATGTCGTTTTTGAGCTTTTCTACATGAAGATAAGTACAACAAACATCTTTGAATTTGGTTTTGGTGTGACTCACAATTATTGGCACAAATAGAACAAACCTCAAAATAAAACTGTGTTATTGCAGTAGTATAATCTCACACTGAAAATTTTACTATAATCCAGTACTTAAATTGTGTACGCATATTCATTGGGGAAAATAAAACTTGCTTTTGCCAAGAGGACAAAGCTTCATCTCTTCAAACACAAGGCTGAATCAGTTTGGAAAGGTATGTAGGAGCTAGTTCATGAACACGCGTACTTCTCCTGCTTCATCTAGGATTGGGTCGTGGGGGCAGCAGTCTCAGCAGGGACTCCCAGAATTTCCCTCCCTCTCCCCAGACACTTCCTCCAGCTCTGCTGGGGGAAGCCTGAGGTGCTCCCAGGCCAGCTGAGAGGCATAGTCCCTCCAGGATTTCCTGGCACATCCCCTGGGCCTGCTCCTGAGGGAGGCATCCAGGGGACATACAAAAAATTTATCCAAACCACCTTCTCCGACTTATTTCGATGTGGAGCAGAAGTACAGTAGTACATTGAGCCCCTCCTGAATAATCAGGCTCTTCACCCTATCTCTAAGGGAGAGCCCAGCCACCCTGCTGACAAAGCTCATTTCAGCCGCTTATATCCGCAAACTTGTTCTTTCAGTCATGACCCAGATTTCATGACCATAGATGAGGGTAGGAACATAAGCTGACTGGTAAATAGAGAGCTTTGCCTTTTTGCTCAGCTCTCTTCTCGTGCACCCCGGAAGCCTCGCCACAGTGGAGTTTTTTTTGACCACCCCTATGACTTCAGCCTGAGTGCTGAATGAATCAGGCCCCAAGCATCCTGTCACTTCTTCCATCACGCAAGGCGTTTCAGCAATGGCCCAGCCCGAAAGACACGCGGTAGGACACTGCGGCCATCCCCTGCAGGGGGAACCATGAGGGACAGGTGCGAAGAGGATGGGGAGGCTGTCAGAGACAGAGGCCTTGGCGACCCAATCCATGGGAACTTAGACTGGCTCTGGGGACATGGGTGATGAACCCAACAGAGCATTTTGCACAGATATGCACAAATATCACAGGAACTGATGATGCCAGAACAGTTCGGAAGATAAGATAAGATAGACGTTATTGATCTCACAGTGGAGAAATTCATTTTTCACATTGGCTCAATAGTCAAAAGAAGGTGTGTTCAAATATATACACTGGATCGAGAGAAAAAAAGAAATAAGGCAGAGATTTACGGTGACTCATGTACTTTAAGGTGAATGACATGCATGGATTTGGCATTGTATATTAAGGTGGTACCAGGTAAAGAACAACAGTGAGGTAGTGAGATACCTATAACAGCTGAAGAGTATATGAATTACTGACTGAACAAGACTTGTTTTCTTATCAATTAAAGCTTATAAACTCGTATAGTGGAGGTATTTTATGCGGGGTTGGAGAGAGGTTGGCTTTGTTGGAAATCAAATCTTACAGTCATCTGCATAACACTTAACGAAGGTGCCTTCAAAAGGACCCTAATGGGAAAACATGCAGTGGTAAAAGGAGAGGTCTGAGAATTGAACTTTGAGGAACTCCACAGGAGGGAGGTACAGAAATTTACTCAAAATTTCTGCAGAACACAGCAAAATAAGCTCTGCTTTATCCTTATAAATATGTTACTTAAAAAAACAGTTTAGGATTTGTCTGCCCAATGAATTTATCAGTCATCCTTAGCATTGGATTATAACCCTTTAAAACAATGTACTCAATAAAGTTTGGATTTTTTTAAAGTTTTCAGTGTAAGATCATCTAAATACAGTATAAGGTGAATTTATTTTGCTGGCTTTTTGAAAATCAACACATAATGGATAACACTTTAAAAATCCATGATCTCTCTGTTACCATAGTTATACTATGTCTATACTGCATTTAAAGAGTGCCTGAATGTCCAGAGTTTCAGTTTGCAGAGAACAATCATCAGGAGCGTGAAACTGGTGTCAATCATCATTTCCAACATAAATATCTTTTACCTTTTATTCCTGAGATCCACACATAACTTTACAAATGTTTGCTGCTTAACCTTATTCAAGCAAATCAGCCATGTTTTGATCAACTGACTGTTCTCAGGTGGTTTCTCATACAGCACATCCTCTGGTCTCCTGTTTCTCGCAACATCGCTAATACAGCAGGTGTGAAGATGTCTAGTGATGCGTTTCCATATTACACTGTGATCCGCTGGTGTACACAACAGCCAAGATGCTATGCTGTACCTCCTAGTGGTTGCTGTTTACATTTCTCATGAGATAATCAGCCTCAGAAAGAAAGGTAAAAAAAAAAAAAAAAAGAATGAAAGTGTTGTATCCGTTGTGACAATGTTTCTTTGCAAATAGGTTTAAAGTGTTTTATCAAACTTTTTTTTTCGTATTTGTGGGGTGATTTGTTGTTTTTCTGGTCGCTGTTTGTGTAAAACATGCTTATCCTTCGTCCACTGTGAATGTACACAAATACATCATTCCTCTTTGATACGAATCCAGTGCTGAAAAGAAACCTGCAACCAGCATCATGTCACTCCAAGTGCCCACAAATGTCAATAAAAAAAAAAACATTGGTAAAATTGCATCCTTTTCTCAAAAAATCTTTAGTCAAGGACTAAAATTATACAGTTACCATAACTTTACAACTGTTTTTAATTGAGTTAACATAATAATTGAATGTTTGATATTAAAGGCAGCAGAGTAATTCCTGTTAAAATGTGGATTATCACTTTCTGTGGCCACATAAAAACAAACAAACCTCAATTTCTGTTAGAAATGGTCTTTACAGGTATCCAATGTTGAAGTGGCACAATTTTAAGAAGTCATAATTTAAATGTGTTGTTCGTTACACAATGCATGAGTGGTAAAATGATTATTAATTAAATTAGTACATTACTACAGTGCTAAATCTGCATTGAAGGGCAGTAAAATTATCCTTCTTGGCAGGTTAGCTTTGCAGTCTTAACCATTATGACATGTCCCAATGGCTGCTTGCTGCCATGTTTTGCATCAGTAGCACACATGGATTTGAATTGTGCCTCTGGGTTGCCACCCTCATGCTCCTAAATTTCTCAACATATCCTGAGAAATCCAAAGCAGCCTGGCTTAGCCGTTGACCACATCCTGTCTGCAGTGGTAGCAGATATGCTACTAGCAGTGCTTGAATGTCATCCAGCTGAATTAGCTGAATATCCCATTAAAACCGAAGGGTGAAGATTTAAACCCTAATTCTATAGATGTTAATTATTTAACATTTTAAAGCCGAATTACTGTCACTAAACTCAACCGTGTGTTTGTTTATGAATACACATTCAAATAAAACCTGCAAAAGTTATAATGATGTATTGCAGTGGCAGCAGTAGTATACGTTAAATATGTAAGGTTCTTGTTCACATTGAAGGTAATGATTGAAAAATGTAAGAGCCAATACCTGATAAATGCTTATTAAAACCTTTAAAATGGATCTACAATTTCAGTTTTACCAGCCTAAAGGCTGTTCTGTTCATTAATTTGTGGAAATCTTAAAGACTCACCGAGATGCAATTTAAGATGGAAATTTGGGCATTTGAATCAAACTCTTTGATTAATCCAGACTTTGTGATGGTAGAGGTCTATGATAAGTTTTGCTTCTGCTGTACTGTTTGAATATTGTTCTTGCTGTTTTCAAATAAATAAAATATTTTTTCTTCACTAAATCTTTACTACAGATTTTTATTGGGATGTGTAAATTCTTAAATGAGACAACACTTTAGAAGGCCAGGAACTAATTTATTGTGATTTACACAACAAATTAGTGCAGAGTTCCTTTTTTTTATTTTATTTTTTTCCCCTCAATAAATGTTTAAAGTTACTTGTGTGAAAAACAGAAATCATCAGTTTTGAGACTTCAAACTCCATGAAAGTAATATTTTTTTTGAGACCTAAACTATCTGCAGTGTGTTTAAAACACAACAGCATCCAGTGTGCTGAGCTTTTTCTGATAAAATGAGACAAACGGATGCAGCTATATGCATACACAGATATCAAGCCTATTGGACCCCCTCCCCCCCCCCCCCCTTTAGGAATAAATAGAGAGGGAGAAAGGAGGGAGGAGCGGCAGCACACAGCAGCTAATCCTGCAAGCTCACTCTTCTGTTTATCTGTCAGAAG